CACCCTTTTTGAACTTGGCCACAGCAACTGCTTGCAGGATACATCCATGAGGGCAAGGGAAACAAAAGCAAAAATGAACTATTGGGACTTAATCAAGATCAAAAGCTTCTGCACAGCAAAAGAAACAGTCAACAAAACTAAAAGACAACCTACAGAATGGGAGAAGATATTTGCAAATGACCTATCAGATAAAGGGCTAGTATCCAAGATCTATAAAGAACTCATTAAACTCAACACCAAAGAAACAAACAATCCAATCATGAAATGGGCAAAAGACATGAACAGAAATCTCACAGAGGAAGACATAGACATGGCCAACACACACATGAGAAAATGCTCCGCATCACTGGCCATCAGGGTAATATAAATCAAAATCACAATGAGATACCACCTCACACCAGTGAGAATGGGGAAAATTAACAAGTCAGGAAACAACACATGTTGGAGAGGATGTGGAGAATGGTGAACCCTCTTGCACTGTTGGTGGAAATGTGAACTGGTGCAGCCACTCTGGAAAGCTGCGTGGAGGTTCCTCAAAGAGTTAAAAATAGAGCTACCCTACAACCCAGCAATTGCACTGCTGGGGATTTACCCCCAAAAATACAGATGCAGTGAAACGCCAGAACACCTGCATGTTTAAGCAGCAATGTCTACAATAGCCAAACACTGGAAGGAGCCTCGGTGCCATTGAAAGATGAATGGATAAAGAAGATGTGGTCTATGTACACAATGGAATATTACTCAGCCATTAGAAATGACAAATACCCACCATTTGCTTCGATGTAGATGGAACTGGAGGGTATTATGCTGAGTGAAATAAGTCAATCAGAGAAGGAAAAACATTATATGGTCTCATTTATTTGAGGAATATAAAAAACAGTGAGATGGAATAAAGGGGAAAGGAGAGAAAATGAGTGAAAATATCAGTGAGGATGACAGAACATGAGACACATCTAACTCTGGGAAACCAACAAGGGATAGTGGAATGTGAGGTGGGCAGGGGGTTGGGGTGACTGGGTGACAGGCACTGAGGGGGGCACTTGACAGGATGAGCAATGGGTGATATGCTATATGTTGGCAAATTGAACTCCAATAGAAAATTAGAAATTAATAAAAAATAAAAATTAAAAAAATGTATGATATTTGATAGTGGTTCAGATTCTTTACTTGTGGTTATACAGTTGCCCCAGGATTGCTTGTTGAAAAGACAATGTTTTCCCCCATTGAATTGTCTTTGCACCTTTATTAATAATCAATGGAAAGTAAAAGTAAGAATTCATTTTGTACTCTTCATTTCAATGCCATCAATCTATATTTTTCTTCATATACTAGTAACACTGTGTCTTGATTACTGTGACTTTTTTGTAGTGAAATGTACTGTAGTACATTTTTGAGTGGGAAAATGCCTACACTCCCATGTATGAGATTGGAGATATTCTGGGTCCACTACATTTTCTATTAGCTTAGGTCTGCATAATAAAATTCCATAGTGTGGGGTGCTAAAATAACATAAATTAATTTTCCCACAATTTTGGAGACTGGTAGTCCTTCTGAGGCTTCTTTCTTTGGCTTGCAGGTGGATGGCTGCCTTCCTACTGTGTCCTTACATGATCTTTTCTCTGTGCTCAAACGTTGCAGATGTTTCTTTTTGTGTCCAAATTTCCTCTTTTATAAAAACATTAGTCATATTGGGTTAGGCCCTCCACATAGCCCTTTAATTTAATCACCCATTTAAAGCCTCTATATTCAAATACAGTCTCATTCTGAGGTATTGGGAGTCAGGTCTTCAACATATATCTTTCATTTCTGATTTTACTTGAGTCTTCTCACTTCTTTAGTCTAGCTAAAAGTTTGGCAGTTTTATCTTTTAAAATCACAAACTTTGAATTTTTTTGATCTTTTCTAATATCTTTCTAGTCTCTACTTCTTTTATTTCTGCTCTTATCTTTGTTATTTCATTCCTTCTGCTAAGGGTATAAATTTAGATTTTTTGACATCTTATTGATATGAACTTCCATCTGAGAACTGCTTTTGTTGCATCCTATAAATTTTAGTATGTCATGCTTTCACTTTAATTTGTCTCAATATAGTTTCTGATTTTGATTTCTTCTTTGACCCATTGGTTGTTCAGGAATATGTCACTTAATTTTCACCATTTTCCCCCTATTATTGATTTCTATTTTCATATTATTGTGGTTGGAAAAGATACTCGGTATGATTTTAATCTTCATACATTTCCTATGGCTTATTTTGTGACCTAATATATCCTGTATAATATTCCACATGTGCTCATGAAGAATGTATTTTCTGCTGAGGTTGGATAGAACATTCTGTATATGTCCCTTGCTTTTTGTAGGTTACATTCTAATTAGGAAAATATTACTATTGTTATTATTTTCTATGTCCCACAGTAGACAATGCCTCTTAACATTTGAACTACTAATTTTATCACCCTAAGTCTTACATCTTTTGCATAATGTTTCTCCCTTCTTTTTCAGAAAATATTCACTTAACGTTTTAATCACATCTCTTTAACAGTGTGATTTCATTTTATTTTTTACTTTTATATTTTATTTTCTAATCACTCCTTATCCACCTTCATCCTTGCTATGTTTCTTCCCTCCTAACTGGATCTTTCCAGTCCTGCTAAAAGTATAGACTAACCCCTTCTGCAACATCTCCTCTCCTTTTCCTTCCTAACTTTCTACATGATGGCTTCTGTCCCTGCTGTGCTACCAACTTCTTGTAAGGTTTTTTTTTGCTAACAGAAAAATGCACCACTCAGATCCCCCTTGAAGAAAGGATTTGCTACCCAGGGGAGGAATGTGACTAGCCTATAGCCTCAAACTCTTAGTTGCTATAAAGTCTGTCTCAGCTTTTGAGCCAACAACAGGACCTTTTGGGAGTGTATTGATTTAATTACTGAGCAAGCTACCTGTACAAAGGGCTAAACTTCACCTCCTTTAATGAGCAATCTTTGTTTTGGAGTCCGTGGCTCTGGAGCCACCTTTCTGGACTGGCAGTAACTCTGTGAGGTCTTTATTATGGTGCGAGGTAATTTTCTCAAATCTGCTTCCTCCTTTCTTTCAGAGCTGTTATTCTTTGAAAGATCTTTTGCTCTGTAACTCTTCCTCAGCATCCGATTCCTGAAGAATATGAGGACATTCATTACTTACTCATTACCACTCAAACAATAATCACCTCAGTTCTCATTCTGCTTGATCTCTAAGTAGCATTTGAAGTTTTTAAAATTCTACTTTGAAATTCTATTTGTAATCACCATAATATCTTCTTTTTTCGCTCTCTCTCTGTAATAAATATTTAAAGAAAAATCATTGTCTGGCAAACAAGTCCTTGCAAAATGGAAATTACGCAAGCCATCAACTTGCATAGTAAGCCAAAAAATAAAAGTTCTTTCCAAGTTACTCCCTTCTCATGTGTGAATGTCATACTGATGGGGAGAAAAGTTTACATTTAACCTTTTACTAGCCACAGATTTTCTTAGGAAAATCTTTTTTTTTCCATTTGCTGAATTTATTTAAATAAATCAATTTAGAAATATCATAGAATGAAACGAGACTTCTGACATGTAAACACACTGCCGTATTCCTGAAACAGATGTTAACACCTGATAAAAGTTAATAATCCTCGGCAGGAAAGCTGTCCCTTAGTAAGGCTGGTCTTCAGCAGTTACTAAAACATTTTGCTTCTTCAGCTTTCCTGGTGTGACAATGCAATACTATCAAACCACAATCAGATATAATAAAGGACAAGATTGGATGGACAGGTCAGTACCATTGGTTACAGCTGTTAAACAGTTTCATTCTTGGCGCCACGTAGAAACAAGCCAATCACATCAAATAAATCATGGCTTTTAATTGATTTTATTTTTTACATAAAAAGTTCAGTAAAAATTGGATAAAATAAAGTGATTTTAAGCAGTAAATCAATCTTATCAACATAGCACAAGGCTGGCCAAAACCACAAGGCAGCCTGCTTTGGAATATTTACATGATAACAAATTAAACCTTGCAGGAGAACTTAAAACCATCCTTACAAAGTCTTCCTGTGATCTAGCACGTAGAGGCTAAAAGCAGAACGAAAAACAAACAAAACCAGGAAAAAACAAATTATTTTCAATATATTCACATATACATTAAAATATAATACAGATCGTCAGGGTGAAGGGTTATGGGTGGGGATGCGCATGGGTCTGTGCGCTGACAGCACCGCCAAGGAGGAGACCCAGGTTTGGGAGTGGGGCTAGCCTGGCCAGGATCTTAGCCGGGTCCTTCACTCAGCCCTTGCCTCTGACGGGCTTCCAACCACACCCCAACAGCTCCTGACCAGGGATCGCCTGTTGCAGATGGAGCTGGATTTCGTGGCTTTCAGTTGAAATCTGCAGGTCTGAAATCCCCGGGGCGATGTGTCACCAGTAGCACAGCCCTGACAGAGGGGGAGGGAAGGGGCGCAGCGGGCCCACGGGGTGTCTTCTCCCGAGTCGGTCCTACCTGCTCACCTGTCCTCCCATCCTGGCCCCACAAGTCACTCTAATTCAGTGTCCTCTTTGGGTTTGTACACAGTCCCAAACTTCTGCATGTACTTCTTAATATACTCCTTGGAAGCCATGCCATACACAATGGGATAAATAAATAATGGGAAGATAAAGTTGTTATTACATGATTATTTCACAGTTGTGATTTGTTTTTGCCCTGATATTTAAATTGCAATTCTATATTGAAGGATTAAAACACATACATGCATCCATGTCATAATTAGCGTTTTATTTAGTTTCCTTAACAAAGGAGCTTTCTAAGAAAGTTATCGACCACAGAACTAATTGGTTCAGATACAATTTTTTTACACTCTTTATCTGTGTGCACCTGTATTTGTTTTGATCCGAGACTTCTAGAAATCTGGCAGTAGGTATGCTTAAAACAGACACCTGTCTGCTAATAAACATATTGTGAATTTCCATTTCCTATTTTCTTTCACTACAGTAATTCAGCCATTGCGCCAGAAACCTACGACGTGGAATATTAACACCGCCAAGCACTTCACCGGCAAACGGCCCATTTCCAGGGTAGAAAATGCACTTCGTGACCCTTACGTCACCCCCGAACGAGTCTCCGATGTCCCCGCTTTGCAAAATAAAGCGCAAGCCCACGAGGGCAGCAGGACCCGCCGGTGTGTGCGTCCCACGCGCAGCGGGTGGGGGGGGGGTGGAGGGGGGCGGGGGGAGGGACTGCGGCTGCGCGCGGGTCCGCGGAGGGGGCGGAGGGGGCGGAGGGGGCGGAGGGGGCGGGGTGGGCGGAGCAGCCGCGCCCCCGCCCCGCCCCGCCCCGCGGCCCGCGCCGACCCTTCCCACCCGCCGGAGGGCAGCGCCCCGCGCGCCGCCACCGTTCCGCAGCCAACAGCCGTCACCGTGGCCAGGCCGGCGGGCCCCGCGATGCTGTCTCTCCTGCTGATGCTCTCAGGTCTGGGCCGGCTGACCTCCGCGGGCCATCGTGAGTGACGGACCCTGCTCCGCGGAGGGCCACCGGCCGCAGAGCCCCTGGGCTCGGCGGGCCCCGGGCCCTTGCTCCAGAGCCCCGGTCCGCTGGGGAGAGACCAGCGTCTTGTCAGAGCCCGCTGGCGTCAGGGTCGTCCTGGGCCTGCTGCGGGGAGGGCTCGGAGCGAGGCTGGGACAGGTGCCCCTCCCTTGCCGGACCCTGCACCTGGAGGGGAGGGCGCGCACCTCTGGGGCCTGGGGCCTGGGGCCTGGGGCGCAGCCCTCCTTCACCTGCGGGCTGCGGTCGGCCAGTCCCGAAGTCTCTGGACGGGGGCAGGGTCACGCTCCCCACTTCCTGGGAGCCTCTTCCCGGGATGTACAAAGTCTGATTTTGTGGTGGGTGCGTGCGTGCCTCTGTGTGTGTGCGTGTGTGTGTGTGTTGGGGCTTGGAGCTTCAAAGGGTGAGGTGATGTGAGAGGAGAAGTGAAGAAGGAGGATGCTGCCAGGCACTGGGGAAGGCTCACACATGTCGTCCTTACTGTAGATCCTGAACCATCCCTTCTACAAATTACCGTGCCGCGGAAGATTGGGACAAATACCAATGACGGTGAAGATTTCAAAACACATGTAATTAAGAAGTCACTTTTTTTTTAATGAAAAAAATATTTGTTATCTGCAAATAGTGAAAGTTTTACTTCTTCCCTGCCAATTTGGATGCCTTTTATTTATTTTTGTTGTCTGCTGACTAGGACTTCTAGCACTATGTTAAATAAAGTGGTGAGAGTGGACATCCTTGCCTTGTTCCTGATTATATTGGAAAAGCTCTGTCTTTCCCCATTGAAGATGATAATTAACTGTAGGTTTTTTATATATGTCCTTTATTATGTTGGGGTATGTTCCCTCTAAAATTACTTTGTCTAGGGTTTTTGCTGTGAATGGATTTTTACTTGGTCAAATGCTTTTTCTGCATCTATTGAGAGGATCGTATGGTTCTTATCTAATCTTTTGTTAAAGTGGTGTATCACATTGATTTCTGAATATTGAACCATGCTTGTAGGCCAGGAGTAAATTCACCACCATTGATCCTGGTGATTTCCTTAATGTATTGTTGAATTTAGTTTGCTAGTATGTTATTGAGAATTTTTACATCCGTGTTAATCAGAGATATTGGTCTATAATTCTCTTTATTATTGGAATCTTTATCTGGTTTTGGTAACTCCTTAAATGTTGGATAGCGTTTGCCTGGGAAGCCATCTCATCCTGGACTTTTATTTGTTCAGAGATTTTGATTACTGATTCATTTTCTTTGCTGGTAATTGCTCTGTTCAAGTTTTCTATTTCTTCCTGTTTCAGTTTTGGTAGTTTATGTGTCTTGGAATATATCCATTTCTTCCGTGATGTCCAGTTTGTTGGGATATAGTTTTTCATAATATTCTCTTATATTTGTTTGTATTTCTGTAGCATGGGTTGTTATTTTTTACTCCCTCATTTGTAATTTTATTTATTTAGTTGCTTTCTCTTTTCTCTTTGATAGGCCTAGCTAGAGGCTTATCAATTTTATTATTTTTTTCAAACAACCAGATCCTGGTTTCATTGACCTATTTTTTTTTTTTTGGTTTTGTTTTTGTCTTGTTTTGTTTCTGTCTCATTTACTTCTCCTAATCCTCTTTCATTCCTTGTGATGCTTTCAGGTTTCACTAATTGTCCTTTAGGTGTAAGGATAGGTTGTTTATTTGAGATTTTCTTTGCTTCCCAGGGAAGGTCTTTATTGCTATATACCTCCCTCTTAGGACTGCTTTTGGTGCATCTTAAAGGTTTTGGACTATTGTGTTTTCATTTTCATTTGTTTCCATGTGTTTGTTTTATTTAAATTCAATTTAGTCAGTGCATAGTGTATTAGTAGTTTCGGGGGTAGAATTCAGGGTTTCATAAGTTGCAGTGCTCATTCCATCAAGTGTCTTTTTTATTGCCCATCACCCAGTTACCCCATCCTCTGACCTACCTTCCTAGCAGCCCTCATGTTTCCTAGAGTCCAGCATTTCTTATGGTTTGCTTCCCTCTTATTTTCATCTTATTTTTCCTTCACTTCTCTTAAGTTCATCTTTTTTGTTTTTTAAAATACACATATGAGTGAAATAAATGGTATTTGTCTTTCTCTGGCTAGTTTATTTTGCTTAATACTTAATATCTGTATAGTACCCTCTACTTCCGTCCACATTGTTGCAACTGACAAGATTTCAGTCATTTTGATGACTAATATTCCATTGTATATATACACCACATCTCTTTTCTTTCTTGTTTTTTTCCTAAAGATTTTATTTATTTATTCATGAGAGACACAGAGAGAGAGGCAGAGACATAGAAGAGGGAGAAGCAGGCTCTGCGCAGGGACCCTGATGCAGGACTCGATCCAGGGACTCCAGGATCAGGACCTGAGCCAAAGTCAGACACTTAACCGCTGAGCCACCCAGGCGTCCCTCTTTTCTTTTCTTTCTTTTTTTTTTTAATTCAAATCACTAACATAGTGTATTACTAGTTTCAGAGGTAGAGATCAGTGACTCATCACTTGCATAAAACACCCAGTGCTCATTACATCACTTGCCCTCCTGAATGTTCATCATCCAGTTAACCGATTCCTCCACCCTCATCCCCTCCAGCAACCCTCAATTTGTTACCTAGAGTTAAGAGTCTCTTATGGTTTGTCTCCCTCTCTGATACCATGTTTTATTCTTTCTTCTCTTCCTCTATGATACCGTGTTTTGTTTCTTAAATTCCACATATGAGTGAGATCATATGATAATTGTCTTTCTCTGATTGACTTATTTCATTTAGCCTTATATCCTCTAGTTCCAGCCATGTCATTTCAAATGTCAGGATTTCTTTTCTTTTCTTTCTTTTCTTTTCTTTTCTTTTCTTTTCTTTTCTTTTCTTTTCTTTTCTTTTCTTTTCTTTTCTTCCTTTTCTTTTTCTTTTCTTTTCTTTCTTTTTTCTTTTCTTCTTTTCTTTCTTTTCTTTTTTCTTTTCTCTTTTCCTTTTTTTCTTTCTTTCTTCTTTTTCTTTCTTTCTTTCTTTCTTTCTTTCTTTCTTTCTTTCTTTCTCTTTCTTTCTTCTTTCTTTTTTTCATGGCTGAGTAGTGGTCCGTTGTGTGTATGTGTGTATGTATGTATATATACATATCTTCCTTATCTATTAATTTGTCAATGGACATCTGGTCTCTTTCCATAGTTTGGCTATTGTGGACATCACTGCTATAAATATTGGGGTGCAGGTGCCCCTTTGATCACTACATTTGTATCTTTGGGGTAAATACCCAGTAGTGCAATTGCTGGCTTATAGAGTCAGCAATGCTGGGTGCAAATGCTGGGTCATTTCCCTCTATTTTCAACTTCTTGAGAAACCTCCATACTATTTCCCAGAGTAGCTGCACCAGCTTGCATTCTTTTTTTTTTTTTTAAGATTTTATTTATTCATGAGAGACAGAGAGAGAGAGACAGAGAGAGAGAGAAAGGAGAGAGAGAGAGAGAGAGGTGCAGAGATACAGGCAGAAGGAGAAGCAGGCTCCATGCAGGAGCCCGATGTGGGACTCGATCCCTGGGCCCCAGGATCACGCCCTGAGCCGAAGGCAGGTGCTGAACCACTGAGCCACCCAGGGATGCCCCAGCCAGCCAGCTTGCATTCTTACCAACAGAGGAAGGGAGTTCCCCTTTCTCTGTATCCTCACCAACATATGTACTTTCCTGACTTGTTAATTTTAGCCATTCTGACTGGTGTGAGGTGGCATCTCACTATGGTTTTGTTTTCACTGATGCCAAGTGATGTGGAGCATTTTTTTTCTTGTGTCTGTTGGCCATTTGAATGTCTTCTTTGAAGAAATGTCTGTTCATATCTTCTGCTCATTCCTTGACTGGGTTATTTGTTCTTTGGGTGTTGAGTTTGATAAATTCTTTATAGATTTTGGATACTAGGCCTTTCTCAGATATGATATTTGGCAAGTATCTCCTCCCATTGTGTTGGTTGTCTTTGGTTTCCTTTACTGTGCAAAAGCTTTTTATCTTGATAAAGTCCCAATAGTTCATTGTTGCTTTTGTTTTCTGTGCCTTTGAAGACATGTCTAGCAAGAAGTTGCTGTGGCTAAGGTCACAGAAGTGCTGCCTCTGTTCTCTAGGATTTAGGTGTTTCATTCATTTTTAGTCTGTTGTGTCCAGTTTCATCCTTCTGATGAACTGAAGGATGAACACCATTTCTTGAAGAAGAGGCTGTTTTCCCTTGTATATTCTTTCCTGCTTTGTCAAAGATTAGTTGACCATCGAAATTGGGAGTCCATTTCTGGTTTCACTATTGTGTTCCATTGATCTATATGTCTGTTTTTGTGCCAGTACCAAACTGCCTTGATGATTACAGCTTTGTAATATAGTTTGAAGTCTAGCATTGTAATGCCACCAGCCTTGGTCTTTTTTAACATTCCTCTGGCTGTTCATGATCTTTTCTGGTTCTGTACAAATTTTAGGACTATTTATTCCATGTTTGTGAAAAATGTTGATGGTATTTTGATAGGGATTGAATTGAATGTATATATTGCTGTGGGTAGCATAGACATTTTTTTTTTCCTGGAGATTCAACCCTTTATTTTATTTGTTTTTTTTTCTGTTTTTCTGGTCCAATCTTTTTAGCATAAACATATTAACAATATTTATTCTTCCAATCCATGGGCATGGAATGTTTTTCCATTTTTTTGTGTCTTCCTCAATTGCTTTCATAAATGTTCTGTAGTTTTTTGTTTTTGTTTTTTTTTAAATTTTTTTTATTTTTTTTATTTTTTTATGATAGTCACAGAGAGAGACAGAGAGGCAGAGACACAGGCAGAGGGAGAAGCAGGCTCCATGCACCGGGAGCCCGATGTGGGATTCGATCCCGGGTCTCCAGGATCGCGCCCCGGGCCAAAGGCAGGCGCTAAACCGCTGCGCCACCCAGGGATCCCTGTTCTGTAGTTTTTAGAGTTCAGTTCCTTTACTTCTTTGGTTAGGTTTATTCCTGGTATGTTATGGTTTTTGGTGCAGTTGTAAACAGGATCAATTTATTAATTTCTTGGGCAGTCTGGGTAGCTCAGTGGTTCAGCACCACCTTCGGTCCAAGGCATGATCCTGGAATCCCGGGATCAGGTCCCACGTCAGGCTCCCTGCTTGGAGCCTGCTTCTCCTTCTGCATGTGTCTCTGCCCCCCCGCCCCATCTCTCATGAGTAAATGAATAAAATCTTTAAAAATTTTTAATTTCTCTTTCTTTAGTCTTATTGTTAGTGCATAGAAATATAAATGATTTCTGTGCATTGATTTTGTATCCTCTCACTTTGCTGAATTGCTGTATGAGTTCGAGCAATTTTGGGGTGGAGTATTTTGGGTTTTTCATATAGAGTATTATGTCATCTGTGAAGGGTGAGTTAGACTACTTCTTTGCTGATTTGAATGCCCTTTTATTTATTTATTTTATTGTTCTAGCTGAGGCTAGGACTTCTAGTACTATGTTGATCAACAGTGGTGAGGGTGGTCATCCCTGTCATGTTCCTGACCTTAGGAGAAAAGATCTGTTTTTCTCCTTGAGAATTATATTCATTGTGGGCTTTTCATGTATG